GGGTTGGTGGGGTCATGGAGTTGACTGGGTCAATGGGGTTGGTGGGGTTCATGAAGTCAATGGGGTTGATGGGGTCAACGGGGGTTGGTGGGGTTCATGAGGTCAACAAGATTGGTGGGGTCAACGGGATTGGTGGGGTCATGGAGTTGACTGGGGTCAACAGGGGTTGGTGGGGTGGATGAGGTCAATGGGGTTGGTGGGGTCATGAAGTTGACCAGCGTCAATGGGGGTTGGTGGGGTTGATGAGGTCAACGAGGTTGATGGGATCAACGGGGATTGGTTGGAGGGGTTCATGAGGTCAACAGGATTGGTGGGGTCAAGGGGGTGACTGGGGTCAATGGGGTTGATGGGGTTCATGAGGTCAACGGGGTTTGTGGGGTCAACGGGGTTGGTGGGGTCATGGAGTTGACTGGGGTCAACGGGGGTTGGTGGGGTCAATGGGGTTCGTGGGGTCAATGGGGTTGATGAGGTCAACGGGGTTGGTGGGGTCATGGAGCTGGCTGGGGTCAACAGAAGTTGGTGGGGTCAATGGGGTTCATGGCATCATGGAGTTGACTGGGGTCAACAGGGGCTGGTGGGGTTGATGAGGTCAATGGGGTTGATGGGGTCATGGAGTTGACCAGCGTCAATGGGGGTTGGTGGGGTTGATGAGGTCAACGAGGTTAATGGGATCAACGGGGATTGGTTGGAGGGGTTCATGAGGTCAACAGGATTGGTGGGGTCAAGGGGGTGACTGGGGTCAATGGGGTTGATGGGGTTCATGAGGTCAACGGGGTTTGTGGGGTCAACGGGGTTGGTGGGGTCATGGAGTTGACTGGGGTCAACGGGGGTTGGTGGGGTCAATGGGGTTCGTGGGGTCAATGGGGTTGATGAGGTCAACGGGGTTGGTGGGGTCATGGAGCTGGCTGGGGTCAACAGGAGTTGGTGGGGTCAATGGGGTTGATGGCATCATGGAGCTGACTGGGGTCAACAGGGGCTGGTGGGGTTGATGAGGTCAATGGGGTTGATGGGGTCATGGAGTTGACCAGCGTCAATGGGGGTTGGTGGGGTTGATGAGGTCAACGAGGTTAATGGGATCAACGGGGATTGGTTGGAGGGGTTCATGAGGTCAACAGGATTGGTGGGGTCAAGGGGGTGACTGGGGTCAATGGGGTTGATGGGGTTCATGAGGTCAACGGGGTTTGTGGGGTCAACGGGGTTGGTGGGGTCATGGAGTTGACTGGGGTCAACGGGGGTTGGTGGGGTCAATGGGGTTCGTGGGGTCAATGGGGTTGATGAGGTCAACGGGGTTGGTGGGGTCATGGAGCTGGCTGGGGTCAACAGAAGTTGGTGGGGTCAATGGGGTTCATGGCATCATGGAGTTGACTGGGGTCAACAGGGGTTGGTGGGGTGGATGAGGTCAATGGGGTTGATGGGGTCATGAAGTTGACCAGCGTCAATGGGGGTTGGTGGGGTTGATGAGGTCAACGAGGTTGATGGGATCAACGGGGATTGGTTGGAGGGGTTCATGAGGTCAACAGGATTGGTGGGGTCAAGGGGGTGACTGGGGTCAATGGGGTTGATGGGGTTCATGAGGTCAACGGGGTTTGTGGGGTCAACGGGGTTGGTGGGGTCATGGAGTTGACTGGGGTCAACGGGGGTTGGTGGGGTCAATGGGGTTCGTGGGGTCAATGGGGTTGATGAGGTCAACGGGGTTGGTGGGGTCATGGAGCTGGCTGGGGTCAACAGGAGTTGGTGGGGTCAATGGGGTTGATGGCATCATGGAGCTGACTGGGGTCAACAGGGGCTGGTGGGGTTGATGAGGTCAATGGGGTTGATGGGGTCATGGAGTTGACCAGCGTCAATGGGGGTTGGTGGGGTTGATGAGGTCAACGAGGTTAATGGGATCAACGGGGATTGGTTGGAGGGGTTCATGAGGTCAACAGGATTGGTGGGGTCAAGGGGGTGACTGGGGTCAATGGGGTTGATGGGGTTCATGAGGTCAACGGGGTTTGTGGGGTCAACGGGGTTGGTGGGGTCATGGAGTTGACTGGGGTCAACGGGGGTTGGTGGGGTCAATGGGGTTCGTGGGGTCAATGGGGTTGATGAGGTCAACGGGGTTGGTGGGGTCATGGAGCTGGCTGGGGTCAACAGAAGTTGGTGGGGTCAATGGGGTTCATGGCATCATGGAGTTGACTGGGGTCAACAGGGGTTGGTGGGGTGGATGAGGTCAATGGGGTTGATGGGGTCATGAAGTTGACCAGCGTCAATGGGGGTTGGTGGGGTTGATGAGGTCAACGAGGTTGATGGGATCAACGGGGATTGGTTGGAGGGGTTCATGAGGTCAACAGGATTGGTGGGGTCAAGGGGGTGACTGGGGTCAATGGGGTTGATGGGGTTCATGAGGTCAACGGGGTTTGTGGGGTCAACGGGGTTGGTGGGGTCATGGAGTTGACTGGGGTCAACGGGGGTTGGTGGGGTCAATGGGGTTCGTGGGGTCAATGGGGTTGATGAGGTCAACGGGGTTGGTGGGGTCATGGAGCTGGCTGGGGTCAACAGGAGTTGGTGGGGTCAATGGGGTTGATGGCATCATGGAGCTGACTGGGGTCAACAGGGGCTGGTGGGGTTGATGAGGTCAATGGGGTTGATGGGGTCATGGAGTTGACCAGCGTCAATGGGGGTTGGTGGGGTTGATGAGGTCAACGAGGTTAATGGGATCAACGGGGATTGGTTGGAGGGGTTCATGAGGTCAACAGGATTGGTGGGGTCAAGGGGGTGACTGGGGTCAATGGGGTTGATGGGGTTCATGAGGTCAACGGGGTTTGTGGGGTCAACGGGGTTGGTGGGGTCATGGAGTTGACTGGGGTCAACGGGGGTTGGTGGGGTCAATGGGGTTCGTGGGGTCAATGGGGTTGATGAGGTCAACGGGGTTGGTGGGGTCATGGAGCTGGCTGGGGTCAACAGAAGTTGGTGGGGTCAATGGGGTTCATGGCATCATGGAGTTGACTGGGGTCAACAGGGGTTGGTGGGGTGGATGAGGTCAATGGGGTTGATGGGGTCATGAAGTTGACCAGCGTCAATGGGGGTTGGTGGGGTTGATGAGGTCAACGAGGTTGATGGGATCAACGGGGATTGGTTGGAGGGGTTCATGAGGTCAACAGGATTGGTGGGGTCAAGGGGGTGACTGGGGTCAATGGGGTTGATGGGGTTCATGAGGTCAACGGGGTTTGTGGGGTCAACGGGGTTGGTGGGGTCATGGAGTTGACTGGGGTCAACGGGGGTTGGTGGGGTCAATGGGGTTCGTGGGGTCAATGGGGTTGATGAGGTCAACGGGGTTGGTGGGGTCATGGAGCTGGCTGGGGTCAACAGGAGTTGGTGGGGTCAATGGGGTTGATGGCATCATGGAGCTGACTGGGGTCAACAGGGGCTGGTGGGGTTGATGAGGTCAATGGGGTTGATGGGGTCATGGAGTTGACCAGCGTCAATGGGGGTTGGTGGGGTTGATGAGGTCAACGAGGTTAATGGGATCAACGGGGATTGGTTGGAGGGGTTCATGAGGTCAACAGGATTGGTGGGGTCAAGGGGGTGACTGGGGTCAATGGGGTTGATGGGGTTCATGAGGTCAACGGGGTTTGTGGGGTCAACGGGGTTGGTGGGGTCATGGAGTTGACTGGGGTCAACGGGGGTTGGTGGGGTCAATGGGGTTCGTGGGGTCAATGGGGTTGATGAGGTCAACGGGGTTGGTGGGGTCATGGAGCTGGCTGGGGTCAACAGAAGTTGGTGGGGTCAATGGGGTTCATGGCATCATGGAGTTGACTGGGGTCAACAGGGGTTGGTGGGGTGGATGAGGTCAATGGGGTTGATGGGGTCATGAAGTTGACCAGCGTCAATGGGGGTTGGTGGGGTTGATGAGGTCAA